TGCTTTTTTGCAGTTGACTGCTTTTTTGCAGTTGTGTTTGGGACTGCTTTTTTGCAGTTGTGTTTGGGACTGCTTTTTTGCAGTTGTGTTTGGGACTGCTTTTTTGCAGTTGTGTTTGGGACTGCTTTTTTGCAGTTGTGTTTGGGGCTGCAGTTGTGTTTGGGATTTCTCGTTCCTTGCAGCAGCTTGTGGCACCACAGGCTCCTCGGTGCTTCCTCCTGTGTTTAACCCTTCCTCCCTCCCAGAGTGACCTGGTGTGGAGGGGATGAGGTCAGCTAGCAGTGACCCTGCCTCAGGCTGCCAGCATGGGCAAAGCCTGCCTTAGGGGCAGCAGTGTGCTGGCACTTGGCACTCTGGCAGCCCATGAGCAGCCCTGCTGGGGTGCTGAGCAGGACTGGGGGCTGCTCTGGGGCTGAGGGGTCAGCCCTGGAGCTGTGCTCTGAGTGGGCTCAGCTGTGGGGCTCTGGAGCCCAGCAGTGACCCTGGGAGCTCTGGAGCTCAGCAGTGATTCCTGTAGGAGCTCTGGAGCTCAGCAGTGACCCTGGGAGCTCTGGAGCTCAGCAATTACTCCTCTGGGAGTTCTGGAGCTCAGCAGTGAGCTCAGCAGTGAGCCCGGAGCTCAGCAGTGGCTCTTCTGGGAGCTCTGGAGCTCAGCAGTGACTCTGGGAGCTGTGGAGCTCAGCAGTGACTCTGGGAGGTGGATCAGCTCCCTAGCTGTGGAGCTCAGCAGTGGCTCCAGGAGCTCTGGAGCTCAGCAATGACTCCTCTGGGAGCTCTGGAGCTCAGCAGTGACTCCTCTGGCAGCTCCGGAGCTCAGCAGTGAGCCCAGAGCTCAGCAGTGAGCCCAGAGCTCAGCAGTGACTCCGGGAGCTCCAGAGCTCAGCAGTGACTCCAGGAGCTCCAGAGCTCAGCAGTGAGCCCGAGCTCAGCAGTGTCTCGGGAGCCGGCCCAGCTCCGGCGTGCCGTGCGTGTGTTGGGTGGTGGTGGTGGTCGTGGTGGTTGTGGTGGTCGTGGTGGTCGTGGTGGTCGTGGTGGCGGGTTTGGTTGATGCTCCACTAATCCGCATGCCTCTTTGCTGGTTCCTGTCCTAACAGGGGGTGTCGTTTGATCAAGCCAATAATCTGCTGATTGAACCTGCTCGCATTGAGGAGGAAGAGGTCTGTACCACTCCTACTGTTCTCTCTCTGCCAAAAATCATCCAGCCTGCTTGATTTGCTTCCCAGCCTCACCCGTTGTTGTAGGGGGACCTCTGATCTCTCTGGGTCAAGTGGCTTCTGGACCTGGCTGATCACAAACACGATGATTGTTTCCTCCTTGCTTTCCCCTTTTCCTCTTTTCCCAGCCTTGAGGTGAGAGTGGCTGCTGCAGAGCAGGAGTAAAAACCAAAGTTCAGTTCCTATTTGCTGTGTGTTGATGGAGAAGTGGAATTAAACAAATGGATATTTCTGGACGTGTGGGTAACCCTGGAGGAGCAGAGACCTCAAGAATCAGCCGAGTGCTGTGTAGTGACCCTTTGATAAAAGGAGGAGGGTCTGACCCTCTGATAAAAGGAGGAGGGTCTCACTCAGGGCACTGTGCCCCTGCCTGGGGGAAGAACTGGAGCCAGTGATTTGTGCATCTCCTGAAGCCTCCCCTGAATCCCTTCAAGGCAGCACCTGGAGGTGTCAGGAAGGTGGCACCTGAGGTCCCTGGCATGGGGATGGTGAGTGTGCTCAGGGTTCAAATCCTCTGGCTGCCTGCCTGCTCATCCTCTGGCTGTGAGCAGCTTCCTGTGTTTGTCTCCAGGTTTTCAGTGCCTGATCAGTGCCTGACCAGGGGACAGTACCTTTCTGCAGGCAGCTTTCCCAGGAGCTGCTGGAAGCAGAGTGCTGCTGCCACTGAGGAGAGGCAGGAGCAGCATCCCTGCTGACAGCTTGCATGGGGATTTCTCCTCTAGCACAGGCAGTACAGGGCCACCAGAGCCGTGTGCTGCCTGGGAGTGCTGGCTGGGGTGTCTCTGAGAACTTGGCTCTGCTGTTACCTCAGGTGTGAAACAGAGATTTTTATTGGTTTTGGAGTAATGCTTTCTAGGAGAGAGGTGATGAATCCTTTCCACCCAGGCAGAGCATGAGCTGGCCCAGGTGTGGTCCCCTGTTAGTGGAGCCTGAAGATTTCTCCATCTTTCTCCATCTCTAGGTCCCTGAAAACCACATTAGTATTTCTTGCATTTCTCTTCTGCATAATCTTCTGATCCTGGAGGTCTTTTCCAGCCTCTGTGATTCTGATTCCTGGTGTGGCTGGTGTGAGGCCCCAGGCTGGCTCTGGTGGCCCCTCAGCACAGTCCCCTTTGCACAGATCTGTTCCTGTACTGTGAGGAAAACGTGGCTGTGCAGCTCACAAGGAGCTGGAGATCTCCCAGACTGGTGGTCGTAGTCACCCAGGAGCAGACCAGCTTTGGGAAGTTGATTGGGAATGCTTGATTGTCCTGCAGCTCTGGGGAGTGCTCAGGGAGGAACCTTGCACAGGACCAGGCTGCTCCAAGCCTGACCAGCCTGTCCTTGGACACTTCCAAGTGGCATCTGCCTGCTGCCTCCAGGGATGGTTCCTTGGGAAGAATCACAGGATGATGGAGCTGAGCAGAGAGCCTGGTGCCCTTGAGCAGCAGGGTTTGAAGCTCATGACACTGCTGTCACATTCCTTATATAAATGTCATACAGCCCCGGGAGAGGGGGACTGCTGATTCCTCACTGTGCTCCTTATCCCTAACCACGGCTGTGGGCTGGAGACTGATCTTGTGGGAGCAGAACTGGAGAGACACCCAGCTTGTGCCAGCCCCCAGCGTGGGGCACACCCAGGTGCTCTTGGTGCCTACAGGGCTTGCTGCAGCAGAGGAATAACTTTGTTAGAGTGTGGGTATGCCTTCTTCTGCAGCAGAATAACTTTGTTAAAGGGTGGGATCCCCTCTGCTGTAGGAGAATAACTTTGTTAGAGTGTGGGTATGTCTTCTTCTGCAGCAGTGGAATAACTTTGTTAGAGTGTGGGTATGCCTTCTTCTGCAGCAGAGTAACTTTGTTAGAGTGTGGGATACTCTGTTCTGCAGCAGAATAACTTTGTTAGAGTGTGGGATACCCTGTTCTGCAGCAGAATAACTTTATTAAAGGGTGGGATCCCCTCTGCTGCAGGAGGACAGCTTGGTTGAAGTGTGGGATACCCTGTTCTGCATCAGAATAGCTTTGTTAGAGTGTGGGATACCCTGTTCTGCAGCAGAATAACTTCCTTGAGTGTGGGATCCCCTCTGCTGCAGCAGAATAACTTTGTTAAAGTGTAGGGTACCCAGCAGTGGATATCAGGTTCCAGGGCTGGCTCTTCCCAGGGTTTGGTCTCCGTCCCCCTGTGCCTTGCAGAGTGGCTGTGCTGGGGTATAGAGAGGCTCTGAGAGGAGGAAGGCAGCGTGTTGAGCACCTGTTTGATGGCACAAGGCACAAGGTTAGACCTGAGCTCTGTTTTCAGGTGGTTCTGATGGAGTAGCCTGGAAAGCTGCTGGGCAGGTTGCAGAGCAGTGGAAGCAGGGTCCCGAGGTTGCAGAGCAGTGGAAGGAGGGTCCCAAGGTTGCAGAGCAGTGGAAGCAGGGTCCCGAGGTTGCAGAGCAGTGGAAGCAGGGTCCCGAGGTTGCAGAGCAGTGGAAGGAGGGTCCCGAGGTTGCAGAGCAGTGGAAGCAGGGTCCCGAGGTTGCAGAGCAGTGGAAGGAGGGTCCCGAGGTTGCAGAGCAGTGGAAGCAGGGTCCCATGGTTGCAGAGCAGTGGAAGCAGGGTCCCGAGGTTGCAGAGCAGTGGAAGGAGGGTCTCAAGCTGCGTTTCAGTGCCCAGGGCTGCTCTGCTGTAGCAAAGGCTGGTGCCACATCCTTGGCTGGCCAGCCCTAGCCCGTGTCCTGCAGGTCCAGGAGCTGCACAGGGCTCTGTGCTGCCAAAGCTTCTGCTGCTGGGGGACACGGACGGGATTGTCTCTCGCTCTGCCCAGGGACAGAAGGAGCTGCCATTCCGCTCCCTGGCAAGGAGAGGAGGTTTCCAGAGCTGCTGGGTGTCTTCTTTGCTGCTGCTCAGGTGTCACATCCTGTTGCTCTGCAGTCAGGGAAGGAGCCTCATCCTGTGGAAACTGCTGAGGAGTGTCACCATTTGTGTTGGAATGCCTGCCTCAAACCTGGCACCAGTTAGGATTTGCCAGCAGCAGATGTGACAGCACAACCTGGTCCTGGTGCTGGAGCATCCCATGCTCAAAGGGTTCAGGTGTGGGAAGGCTCCACGGGGACTGGGGAGCACTGGGATGTGCTGGGAGCCATCCTGGGCTTCCTGGAGCATCCTGAGCCCAGGACTCAGCCTGCACAATACTGGGGGAGCACTGGAATGTGCTGGGAGCCATCCTGAGCTCAGCTGTGGAAAGGCCAGCACAGGGACTGGGACATGCTGGGAGCCATCCTGAGTTCAGGACTCACTGTGGAAAGGCCAGCACAGGGACTGGGGAGCACTGGGATGTGCTGGGAGCCATCCTGAGCTCAGGACTCACTGTGGAAAGGCCAGCACAGGGACTGGGACATGCTGGGATGTGCTGGGAGCCATCCTGAGTTCAGGACTCACTGTGGAAAGGCCGGCACAGGGACTGGGGAGCACTGGGATGTGCTGGGAGCCATCCTGGCTCTCTGCCTGGGGCTGCTCTTTGCTGCTGCACACGTGGAGCTCTTCCCCTTGCTCTGGTTTTGCATTTAGGGGGTGAGTGTGTGCTTCATCAGGGCACTGTCAGGCTTGGAATTATTACATAGAAAATTTGATTTTCCCACAATGTGACCCATAAATTTTAAACCCAAAAAAGTTTAATAAACCTCTTGTGTAGTGCAGGAGAGGTGACATCACCTGTGTTTGCTCACCTGGCTTGAGTGGAATATGACAGAGTGGAGTCTTTTTGATGTTAAAAAAAATACAAGACTCCCATTTCTCTTGTTTAATTTTTAAGATTATCAAAGTTCCTATTGAGTAAAAAAAAAAAAGTGCCACATTTTCTCCTTTAATTTGTCTGGCTTTTAATTTATTGCCATCAAAGTGTTTTTATGACCTTCTCCTACTGGGTTGAAGGGTCCTCAGTGTTTTTTATGGAATCATAGAGTGGCTTGGATTAGAAGGGACCTTTCAAATGTCACCCAGTGCCACCTCCTGCCATGGGCAGGGGCACCTTCCACTGTCCCAGGTTGTTCCCTGCCCTGTCCAGCCTGGCTCTGGACACTTCCAGGGATCCAGGGGCAGCCACAGCTGCTCTGGGCCATGTTCTGCCACCTGTCCAGGCCACGACCCTCTGGTTTGGAGGTGCCTTTGTGACCCTGAGGTGGGTTTGTGATCTCTACCTGTGAATGTGCAAGTTTTGTCTGATCCAGAGCTCTCTGGGGACCAAGGAGCAAAGCGTGGAATGGTTCTCACACAAATGCAGCCCCACCTGCAGTTCCCTTTGCCTGCTCCAAGAGTGGGGCAGGACCATTTTGGTTCTGCTCTGCCACGCAGTCATCTCGTTGGCTTCACAGAGAGAGGAGAAGGCAGCAGAAGAGGGACTGATGGAGAGAAAATGGCAATTTAAACACAGTGCTACAGCAAATGCAGTTCTCCCTTCTGCACTAGGCAGGTGCCCTGTGTGTAAGACAGGGGGCTTTGCTGCTTGGGGCCAGGGTTATGTACAGGAGTCAGGGATTACAGTAACCCCCACAGAAATCACGGGGCTGAAGCTTTTTCCTGCCCTGAAACTGGTCCCTGCCTGCTGCAGTGTGCTCTGACTGTCACTGGAGGAGGGCAGGAGCTCCCAGGCAGTTCCAACACATTGCAGAGGGAAACAATCCCCAGCCGGGGCACTGGCCAGACTGGGACAGGCTGGAAATTAGAGTTTAGCTGAAAAAGGGCTGTGCTCAACTCAGGAGCAGCACAGCTAAGTTTGCAGGGAAGATAACTGATGATTTGGAGGAAGTGCTGAAGTCAAATCTCCTACCAGGACTGGCAACCCAACACTGTGCTCTGGTTAATAAGTCAAACTTTTAATTAAATACAGCTTGTTTCATCCTGTTACACAGTGTGTGCACACACACAGATCCCTCCTCAGGGGAGAACCCCAGAACTTCTCCATATTTCTGCTTCTGGAGTGATTAGAA